AAAGAAAGAAAGAAAGAAAGAAAGAAAGAAAGAAAGAAAGAAAGAAAATCAACAATCCTGCATTCAAGATTTTATAAACAACAACTTGAAACTCATTTTTTCACATATGTGAAGTGCAGTTCTAGAAAGGAAGACACGTACAAATTGAATAAGGTTTAAATCCATTCATATTTATCATCAATTTTAATGATTTGAATAATGTTCATTTCGTTACATGAAATTGATCTGAATTGGAAGCTGCTTGATATGCACTGATGACTGAGATCAATGATGACTGAGAAATAAAATGTGGTTTTTTCCAAAGATACTTTTCAAAAGGCAACTGGACTTTCTTGAATATGATTGAGCAGCTGCGTCCAGTATCTAAAACAACTGTGCTGAAGATTTGCGACAGCTGAGGGATCAAGCATCAGTTTCAAGTCTACATTAGTTAATAGACAGTGGGATATGTAGTGTGTGAGCCAGATACTGTCTTAAGTGGAAGCTATAGGACCATGATGGCGAACCTATGGCACGGGTGCCACAGGTGAGACGCAGAGCCATTTGTGCGGGCACACAAGCCCCAGACAAACTTGCCTGCACTGCACATGCGCACACCTCCCAGCTGATTTTCGGCCCATTTATGGCCTTTTTCGGCCTCCCTGAGGCTCGAGGGAAGCCTCTGCAGCCTCAGGAGGCCGAAAAACAGGCCTTCCAAAAATATCGGAAGTGCCAAAACGGGCCTGTTTTCAGTCTCCCGAGGCTTTCCTCAAGCCTCTGGGAGGGCAAAAACGGCCTCAAAAGGGCCGAAAATCAGCTGGGAGGTGCATGCATGCACAGTGCAGGTAAGGGGGCAGGGCGGGGATGTTGTGCGCACGTGCGCAGGGGTGCTGGCGCATGCGCATTGTTGGTGCCGGCACGCGCATGCGCTTTTGGCACACCACCACAAAAAAGTTTGCCATCACTGCTATAGGATGACAGCAATGAAAAATTGCTAGTAGCGTGCCTAAAGCAGCAACCTCCAACCTTTTATTCCGTGAAGAGAAGTTTTTCCACGGACCAGAAAGGACGTGATTTTGTGTGCTGCCTGAATCCTGAGGATGGGGCTTCACTTGTTTGCACGGACTGGTTTCTGGCATGCCACGGACTGGTTCTGGTCCGCGAACCAGGCGTTGAGGATCCCTGTCCTAAAGCATAAAAACCTCATTAAGCTGGCCCTGCTTGAAACAGCTAGAATTTCAAAAGGATTAGATCAGGGGTCCCCAACCGCTGGGCCCCGGACCGATACCGATCCGTGGATCATTTTCTATCGGGCCGCCGGTTTGGTGGATGCCACCATCTTGTTTTGACGAGAAAGTGCTTCCGGGTGAGCTTTTCCAGTTGGAAAGCGGCGTTTGGGTCCTGAAGGAATCCTCGCGCCTTAGTTTCATCGAGGGGGGGGGCGGCTTCGAACGAAGAGCCGTCCTGATGGCGGAGGAGATTAAGAAAGCACAAAAAAGCGCAAAAAAGGTACAAAGGAGGAGTTGAAGGTGGCGAGGAGAAGCGGGGGACGGCTGACTGGCCGTCGCTCAGCTCGCCTTGCCTTGTCATGTGTGCTGATGCCGGTACCGGGCCGCGGATCATTTTGTGATGCCGGTACCGGGCCGTGGCACAAAAAAGGTTGGGGGCCACTGGATTAGATAAACAAGAAGTTTTCTTTAAAAGAGAGAGGGAAAATTGAGTCTGTCATGCCAAGGAATGTACAGATTGCACAAGGGCATATCATTCATGTTTTGGACAATCTACACTGATATGCAAATTCATGAAGAGCAATATTCCACATAATGGACTAGAATGAATAACTAAAACAAAGGGAACGGATACAGCCTGGTTGGGCCATCTTTAGATCAGCTGCAGTCCCTGGAACGCTAGCTCACACCACGGAATACCCCCTAAACTCTGAAAGGACAATTTGCAGTGGAAGTTTTGCTGAGGCAATCTATTGTTCTGGCCCAGAAAAACAAAACAACAACGACTCATGAATACTAAAAATTCTGCCACCTCATTAGATTCTGACTAGTTTGAAATGTGACACTGTTTACCTGATAAGGTGGGAAATAAGTTAACCATCTTTCTAGGTGAATGGCATACCATCCTGGTATCAGACATTTCTTCTGCAGGATCTTAAGTTCAGACGAAGCATGGTGTCCTGCAGTAATCACTTGATAAAATGTAAATTTTAGAGCAGCTGGGTCTTTGTGAAATCTTTGGTGCTGAAAAACAAATTTAAGGATGTCAACTATAAAGCAAAGTTAGTTTAAGTTCGGAATATACAACTGATCCTTCCTTTCTAAGTATTCACCTTCCATGTAGCTACCGTACCTCTTTGATTCAAGGCCAAATATGAAGCAAGCATTTTGTTGGATTTAATACTGTGTTTCTCATATAATAAGGCTGGGTCTTATTTTTTTTTGAGCCCCGAAAAAATGGCTAGACCGTCTTTTTGGGGGTGACTTAATTCCCCCCCCTTGCATCTTTGGGCGGGCGGCAACGGCTTGGATGTTGACCTCGGCGTTGGTGGGGCACTTCGTATCGGGGTCAACGCAGGCAGCACCATATCCGGGTGTGCCACAAAAGTACTTCCTAACGGCAAGCCCCCCCACCATTCCCCCCCATTTTGCATGTTTTAATATAGGCCTTAATTTGGGGGGAGGGGCTTAATTTCATTTTATGCCTATAAAACATGCTGGGACTTCCTATTGGGGGAGGCCGTATTGTTGGAGAAACAGGGTACTAACAAGGATATATACAGATTAATAGCAATAGCACTTAGACTTATACACCACTTTACAGTGCTTTACAGCCCTCTCCAAGCGGTATACAGCATATTGCTCCCAACAATTTGGGTCCTCATTAAGCAGTACAAAAGAGGACAGAAGCAAAAGTATATAATATATAATACTCATATTTGTTTAAATGTTTTTAAGCATAACAATCTGGAAGATCGATCCCGGTTATTTTTTTTTGTATTTTAATTCTTGAATAAAAAAATAAAAACAAATGATTAGATTATTTCATCTGATAAAGACATTTTATTGTTTTTATGGAATCTTAGCAAAATGACACATTTTCTGTTTTGGTGATAAAGCTTTCTCTTGCTTCATGTTTTGAAAAAAATGTTGACTTCTGTTTGCTAAGCATATATTTATTCTTAAGTCGTAGCAGTCAGTTCTCAGTGAATGACTTACTGCCCAATAAACATCTGAATTACAATTAAAGGAGGAATCAAAAAGTTTTCCTTGACAGTTTTCAAGTCTATCAATTATGGACTTGTCAATAATGGTCCATACTTCTGACTATAATTGTGAAACATAATGAATAACAGAAGCAAACCATCATAATTAATCATACATACATTTAGAATCTGCATTTTGTTAAAATATGTACCTGATACCAAGAATATGCTCGATCTGATGGATCAATGAGAATAGTTATGATTTTTGCCTTAGGGATTAAAGAAGCAGCTCGTTTAGGGGCTTCTTCAGAATGAAAATAATTGGCACTCTTCTCGAAGAGAAAATCGGTGGTTACATTGGATGGTGTAGGAAAGAATTCCATATACCTACAAAAAATGAAAAACATTTTAGTACAGCATTATATGGGGGGGGGGGGGAGTTCTTCTGGGCATATTAAAGCTATTTTTCTAGCAAAGCATATCATTTTTGCTAACTTGTATATATGTGAAGCCAATTATAAATAGAAGATTATCAACTGATTTTCAACTCTGCAATTCTCTGCCTTTGATTTGGTTTGAGTTACATTTAAAATTTGTCAAATTCAGCTGTGTAATCTTTATGACAAAGAAGCAGCAAGGGGTTTTACATCATAACCTAAAAATCTGGTTGTAACTTTGACATCTTACAAACCTAGTTAGAATGAGTAACATATATTGTAGCTGTGACGTGATACAACCAAATTTTCCATTTATTTCCAGGGCTCTTGGCATTGACTCAAACAGTATTTACACAATTGTCTTTACAACTATCCTTGTTAAAAGTAAAAGTCTATGGCATAGAACTTGTCCTCAAAATGAAAATTGAAAAATATCAACATTTGCTTTCTTTTTTAGTAACATTTTCTATTTTCATTTTATGGGTCTTGTAGAAATATGACTTATATATGTTAGTGAACTTGACATAATAAAAATAACTTGTTTAAAACACCATTAAGCTATAACTCACTTTCCATTTTCCAGCAAGTAAGTGCACTAAGTTCAGTGAACATTATTCACCGAGGAGGAAAAAGAAGTGAGTTGGTTAAGTAGATTCAAATATGTCCATTTGAAAAGAAGTGAGACCTTGATCCATGAATTTGAAATACCATATCCCATAGTACATATAGAAAATATTTATTTGAAATCATGGAAATGGTTAGAAATCTCTATGCAAAACTATGAAAAATGTAACAGACTTTTCACTCTTATTTCAATATATTACTTTAGTAAATAAAAATTTATTTTTTTTAGTGGAAATTCAGACTTTTGCTTAGATATTTACATTTACACCACAATAACATGCAACTGACTTTTTAATTAATTATTGAGTCCTTGCACAATTAATGCAATTTATTGTATATTTAAACAGCTATTTTCCCATTTCTAAGTGAAAACAGGAAAATTATACTTGCTGCTGAGAACTACCTTATGCGCACAGAATTTTTGGAAGAATGGTAAAAGTTCACATAAGTTGCACACATTAGAAATACGGCAAGTTTTTTTGTATTGTGCTAATACAGAATGATTTAGATTCATACTAGTAGCCCATCTTACCAATCAATCCCCCTGTGGTAGTTATTTCTATTAAAGAACTGTACCTCCTCAAAGGTTTTGGGGCTGGGGGAGTTACTAATGATGGAAGGATGCATAATCAGGAACAAATATAAAGCCGTTGTGCCTGCAAAAAGAGTAACAGTCCAAGAGTTGAGATGAAACTTCTGCACTCTGTCAATCAGATCCTTATTTCATGTAGGGTTTAAACAGCTCCTTTAGCAAGCATCATCGCATTTACACTAGCAACTAAAACAAAGTAGAAAGCAAAACAAAGTATGAAGGCAAATATACGTGTCCCAGGATAAGGTTGCAAGATCCAATCTGGGTCTGTCCAGGGGTGGGATTCAAATTTTTTAACAACCGGTTCTGTGGGTTTAGCTAGGTGGGTGTGGCCATGTGACTGGGTGGGCGTGGTTTTTTTGCAGCACAAACAACCGGTTCTGTGGGTGTAGCTAGGTGGGTGTGGCCATGTGACTGGGTGGGCGTGGTTTTTTGCAGCACAAACCATTTTGGGGGGCCTTCTGGGCCTCAGGGAAGCCTCCTGGGGGGGTGTTTTTGCTCCTAGAAGACGTCCCTGGGACTCAGGAAGGACAAAAATGGAGCCTAGGGGAGCACGCAGCACCCCTCACGCTCCGTTTTGGGGCCTCCTGTGCTTTAGGGAAGCCTCCTCGGGGGACATTTTTGATCCCAGGAAGCTTCCCTGGGGCTCAGGAATGCAAAAAAATGGAGCGTGGGGTGTGTGTACTTTGCCCCCCCCCCCATTTTTTGCCTTCCTGGGCCTCAGGGAAGCCTCCTGGGCAAAGCAGTAAGACAGCAAGAGAATCCTGGCACAGCTGATCATAGGAACAGCTGATCGTTGGGAGGGGGAAAAAAAAGAAATACCTTAAAGAATGACTGGGCGAGGAAGAACGCAATCAGCGATGTCGGGCACGCGTGTGATGTTGTGCATGCGCGATAAGAACTGACTGGGAGGGGCGGGGCGGGCGGAGAGGGGCAGGGCCAGCCAGTGGCACAATATGCCAGTTCTCCAAACTGTGTAGAATCATAACAACCGGTTCTATAGAACCAGTCCGAACCGGTAGAATCCCACCCCTGGGTCTGTCCTTGGGACCAGAGGTTATATGACCGACCCAGATTGGACCTTGCAAAACAAAGTATTTTAAAGCAAAATAAACATGTATAAAAAAAACTTTCTTTGACGAACAAAAGCAAGTTTCCTTTGACTAAGTTTTCTTTGACTTTTATTCAAGCAGCATCTGCATGGGAAAAGAAATCAAGATGCATTGCTTTAAGATTTTTTGTCTAAAAGGAAACAAAAGGATAACACTCAACCCTGGAAAGATGAAGCAGTTTGGCTTTTTTTGCCCTCCATCCCAGGTGCTGGAAATATGTTATCTTTGACTCTGGATGAGGTGCTCTTTCTGGTTCAGCTGGTGCAGAATTTGGAGGTCCTCCTAGACACCTAGGGGTGTCAAAATGGCGGCCCATGGACCGGATGTGTCACGTGCAGGCCACACCCACCTCAGCTCCACCAATGGGAAAAAGGTCACGAAATGTCATCAATGTGATACCGCAAGTTTGAAACCCATGTCCTAGACCATGGCTCTTGCTTAAAGAAGCGGGTGACAGTATGGCTGTGGTTTCAAAAACCATACCATGCATGCCACAGCCCAAAGAAGGCACGGCGAGAATCCACTGGAGTTTTATGTTCCATTACGGATCCATTGAGATTTTGCTGCTCCCAGCCCAATTTAAAAAATAACTGAAAAAGTCCAAACATTTTGGCTTCACATATCTTGGGAGATGGGAATTATGAAAAAGGTATAGACATATGATCCCGGGTCACATGTTTGTATTTTTGATTTAAACCCTATATAAAGTTTTTACCAGTTTTTTGTGGTCCAATAACCAGGAATTTTGGTAAACGATCACATGTTTTTTCTTTAGACCAGATATCTCTGTGTCGTTTGTCATCACAAGGATTCTAAATGGAGAGAAAAAACAATCTTATATTAATTTTTAGGGCTTTTTTGTCACTAATCTATATGACATGAATCACATGTTATACTGAAGAAAATACAAAAGCCAAATACATCTACTATAGTAAGCAATAAGTCTTAACTTATTAATCTATGAAAAATAAAAATGAATATTGCTATTAATCATATTATCCCTTTACAATTAAAATATGGGCTTATTTTATTATAATCTAACTATAATCCATGCCTTATTTTTATTATGATAGTAGAATAATTTATCTTTCTCACATGATTATTCAGGAGTATGCCACTAAATTGCATGATACTTTCTTAATAATTAAGATATTAATTATTAAAATCTAATATTTAAAGCTTTGATTTAAGAACAGTTTTTGAGAGTTACAGAAAGATATATGCTATAGTGAGTTCTTCTGATATATCTGCCTTCTGTAAAGTGCACTTTTAGATATGTTACAACTTCCACTTTTGGCTAAGTCATCTAAGAGGAGCAATGTCAAAGTACCTGGAGTTTGCATAATTTAGAAGACTGAAATAACACTTTCCAATAGTTTCCTTTACTGCTATTAAAATCTTTCTTCCTGAAGATTTCCCTTGCTCAAAGACTTTGTGTAAGATAAATTGTTTCTTATTGTGATTAAGAAGGATTAAGCAGGGGTGGGATTCTACCGGTTCGCACCTATTCGCTAGAACCGGTTGTTAACATTCTAAGCAGTTCAGAGAACCGGTTGTTAGAAGAAATTACTGGCCTAATCCTGTAAGGAAGGCAGGAAGGAAACATTCTGCTGTTGCTTACAGAAACTGCCTCTGTTAACCCTTATGACATTCTTGGCAGGACTAGACTTCCTGTCTCAGGAACGTCTCTGGAGTTTTTTTCCCCTCCTTTGCTGGTACTTTGCTTGTGTGGAGTGACCATTCAAAGTTAAAATGGCACTGAAAAAAGTGACTTATGACCATTTTTCACACTTACGACTGTTGCAGCATCCCCACAGTCATGAGAGGCCAGGCAAGGAGATGCGTGCCTCGATGTGAGTGATATTGAGTTGGCCACACCCAGCCAGTCACATGACCACCAAGCCATGCCCACCAACTAAGCCACGTCCACAGAACCAGTTGTTAAAAAATTTGAATCCCACCCCTGGGACTAAGGGGTGACATGATAGCAGCATTCCAGTATTTGAGGTGCTGCCACAAAGAAGAGGGACTTCAACTTATCGTCCAAAGCACCAGAAAGCAAGACAAGAAACTAATCAAGGAGAGAAGCAATCTAGAATTAAGGAGAAACTTCCGAACTAGTGGAACAGCTTGTCTTCAGATGTTGTGGGTGGCTCCATCACTGGACGCTTTTAAGAAGAGACTGGACAGCCTCTTGTCTTAAATGGCCTAGGGCGGTTATGGCTAACCTTTTTGAAAGTGCATGCGTACATATACATGTGTGCCTGCACCCATAATGCAAGGCACGTGCGACCCTCCCACGCCCCCATGCCCCCTGCGCATGCATGCACAACCCCCCTGCACTCCCCCATCCCGAGCATGCGCACATGTCTCCCGCATGCACCCCACCCCCCCATGCATGAGTGGCAGATACTCAAAAATCAGCTGGCTGATGGGAGGCATGCACGCAGGCGCAGTGGAACTGAGCTGGGGCGACGGCTCACGTGCCCGCAGAGATGGCTCTGCATGCCACTTCCAGCACGCATGCCATAAGTTCGCCATCACGGGCAGGGGTGGGATCCGACAGGGTTAACTACCAGTTCGGTCATTTACAAGATTTGGTCATTTACGGTGTGCTTCCCTGCACGCTGCTGACATGTGCCTGTAAATCGTCATCAGCATGCTGTATGCAGAGAAGCAGCCTTTCAAAAAGCCCCTTTTTCCTGCTTTTTTAACTCGCACGGCAGCTGAAGTTGAAAAAGCAGGAAATAAAGGTCAGGTAAGAACCCGTGTGGATGGGTGGACAAAAACATCAGCAGACATAGAGGAAGAAGGTGGAGCCTCCTTGCTGACGGACCATAGATCACGACTCTCTGCGGCTATGGTCCATGCTCTTTCGTTGGAGAGCCCCGATTATTACAATTAGGGGCTCAAGCTGCCTTGGAGGGATGCGGAGTAAGGGGAAGCCGCAAGCCAGGTTGAGGGGAGCCGCATCTCCCCCCCTGGGCTTGATCTCCCCCCCTGAAGACGACTGCAGCGGTGCTTTAAAATGGCTACCCCGAAGAGGAGGACTCAGCTGGATTAAGATTTGTGCAGGAGGGAAGAAAGAGGTGGATAACATCTGAACCAGGACAACTAGGCAATACAACTAAACAAAAGTACCCTGGGATTAAGGTAACATGGAATTTTTAAGAAAAGTGAGCGGCGAAATTACAAAGGGATGGGGAAAAAAAAAATTTTTTTGACAGCTAAGCGGGGATTCGAACCGGGAAAGGAAGAAGCTGGAACTAAAGATTTAACTAAATTGGACTAAAATATTTTGGGAATAAACAGGCATAAAATAAAGCTGGACTTAAGATTGTCAAATAATAATAATAATAAAGTTTACAAATTGGAGACTGGACTGTGTTGGAATATTGAGGTGAAGACTTTGTATAATGGAGAGTGCCACCTTTTTTTTTTTTTTTAAAACAAGTTTTATTAAAAGTTTCAACAACAAACAAATCATTACATATTAAATCTTTCCCTGTCTTTCTACAATAATTTCCCCAATATTCTCATAAAACACAAACAAACACAAACAAACATAAAAAAATCTTTTAGTAAAGTACCTTGGCCCCAGTTACCTCTCTTTGCATGGGCTAAAATAATAGCGCATATCACTCTTCACAATTCTATCTTATTTAATCCATCTTAATTAAATCATTAAATTTGTATCTTTTGCCCATTCATTATCCCTCTATCTCTTCTTATAATAAAAAAGAATTTCTCCTGAAATCACTAATTAGAGTATGATGCCTTTCTATCCTCCCCCTAAGTTAGTAAAATTAACATTCAACATAACAAATACCCAATTTGGTTCTGCTTGGTACATTCTATCCACCAAAAATGTTTAAATACATTGTATCCTCCTTTCCTTCGATATTTTATTACATTTCAAAAATCAATCATTATTAAAAACTTCAACATTTTAATTTCTTATTAAATCTTAAACCATTCTAATTTACTATTTCAAATATAAATGTTACAATACCATCTTCTGTACCTTAGCAGAATCTTTCTTACAGAAATTTATATTTCATCCTTTGTCTCTAAAAAAAATCCCTCTTCTCCCATCCAATTTTAAAGCTTTGAGGCTTTTCTCCGCCTTTCCCCTTTCTTTCTTCCCCCACCAAATCTTCCTACCCCCCCTTCTTCTTCTAACCTCTGCCTTGCTGGGATCCCTTCTCTGTTGTGTTCCCTTTTTCTCTTGTTTGTTATCATTATATTTATTTTGCATCATATTTTTCTCTTTCTCAAATGTTTTTTTAGATCTTAAGTCCTTCATTTTCCTTGCTCTCTTCCTTCCTTCTTCCTTAGATAAGTTTTGGGATTCAATGAAGATGGCGTCTTCTTCTCTTCCTTGTTGTTCTTCTTCCGTTTCCATCTGTTCCATTGTCTGTTGGTAATTGACCAGCGCCATTTCTAGAAATAGAAAAGCTTTTTCCATGCCATCTTTGCAGGCTGCTTTTGTTTGCTCATATTCATCCCTCAGGTCTTCAAAAAGGAAAGCCATTATAAATAAATCTTTTCTTTTCTTTATTCCTCTTCCTTCTTACACCAACCAAATATTCCGAGAGAAAGGCAAAACAATCCCAAAATCCACAATCCTCAATAAATCCAAGCAAGCCAAAATTCCCCCTTCCTCTTCCAGGGGTGGTATCAAACAAATAAAAAAAAAAAAAGAGTCCAAGTCTATATTTTAAAGCCTTATTAAGATTATATTTCTGTCCTCAAGTCTTCAAGGCATCTCCTCCAACAAGATCCAAATTTATATATTTTCTTTATCCTCTCCCTTCCGGCTTAATTCCGTCGGGAGGGAGAGTAAACTTTCCCTTCAGCACCTCAAAATAGCCGCTTTTTTTTTTCTCTTGTGGAAAAAATCATCAAAAAACCATCTTTTCCAGGAATTAAATTAGATAAATCTCAAAGCCCTGGGTCAACCAAGAAGAACTTTCACTTTCAATAACTTTCTCTTCTTCCTCCTGCGCATACTTGCCCGGCTGTCAACTTCTTTGTGGCGGCCATTACGGACCGCCGCTGCACCGTCCTGGTAAAAGGGGGTTCTGCCGGCCAGGGAGGGGGTCTGCAACACCCCCAAACCCTTCCTCCGGATCCCCCTTACCTTCAGCTACCCCTGCAGGGCAGCCTTGCTCCGCACCCGTCCGGGTCGGAGCCCCAAAACGGCTAGCGCGGCAGGGATCGCGCAGCTTCGCGAATCCCTACCGCTCGCGAAGCCGACAAACCGGAAAATCCCCGAGAGTGCCACCTTTTGACAAAAAGTTGAGCTCAAACAAAAGGGAAAGCATCCTGTTTCTGAATGAACTCGTGTGGATATAACATTAAAGAAATATTGAAACAAAGTAAGAATCTTAGAAAGTGAAAGCAGAACCAGAATAAAGAAAAAAGCAAGCAAAGACTGACTGTGGGATTGATTGATGTTTTTGGTATAGACCCTGGGCTGGAACAATTGAGAACTTTAGAAAACTGAAAGAAGAAAGAAGGAAAGTAAAAGTTTTTTTTTTTTTTTTGTGGACCTTAACGATCATAAAATATAAGAGTGTGTAATGATGATATCTCTTCGGGAATTAAAAATGGAACTTATAAATATGAGAGAATTACTACAGGAAAGAGGCGAATCACTTTGCTCTGTGTTAGAAAAAATGGAAATGGCGATTGAAGAACAAGAAGAAAGAGCTTCAGAGGAGGAGGAGTCGATTCAAGGAGAAGACATTTTAAAGAGACAATTAACACAAAGAACACTACAAAGAAGTGGGGAAAGAAGGAAGGTTAAAAAGTTGAAATTTAAGAAGGCAATCAAAAGGGGGAATACCTGTGAAGTCAGGAAAGGCAGAAAGACCCAGCAGAAAAGGGGAAAGGAAGATATTAAGAAAGAGAGGGATATAAACTGGAATGAGAAAAGATATGGGGAAAAGAGGGGGAGGAGAAGCAGTAAGAAACAGGTGCATGAAATAAAGAAATACGGAAATAGTAAAATGTTGAAAAATTGTTTTTTCAGAGATAATGGTTGATGAATTAAAAAGGGGATTCTGCAGGGTAACAAGGGGTAATAAGAATATTTCTGCAATTAAAAATATTTAGAAAACAGGGTAATATAGATACCGATAACTCTTATTAAAAATCAAGGGGGGGAAATATGCTGCGGAATCCAAATGAAAAGATGGAATGATTATTATTGTAACTTCTTAAAAATAATGGTTTATTGGGAATCAAGATGAGGAATAAAGGTATATTTTAATCATTGAGGTGTCACACTCAAAACAGTAAAAGGGGGGAAACCTATATTTGTTTTTTGTTTTTTAGTGTTAAAATTTGTATTAATCTAGAATTTATAAAAAGAATGTGTAATGGAAAGGGAATATGACAGACTAAAGAACCAACTAAATTAATAAGTTAATATAGACTATTAAAAGCAAGGAGAGACATTGGTAACTTTTTTTATTATTATCATTATCATTATCATTATTAGGCAAACACATATTGTTTATCTTTATTTTTAAAATAAATATTAAAGGATTATATTTGAAATAATTGAAATGAAACAAAAAGATGTTTCGATTGAGATTAATGAAAGAGGCTAGAATTAATGTGTTTGTTTCTCTCCTTACTGAAAATTTGGAATGGAAAAGGTAATAATAGAATTAAGTATGCATATATCAATGTATAATTGCTGTCATATTTGTATGTAAAGGTGATGACCCGGAAATATGTTGTCCACTAAAAAGAGATTTTTGTTTTTAATGTGAAAAACTGAATAAAATTTGTTTAAAAAAAAAAAAAACATCAGCAGACATAGAACCGGTTCTATGTCTGCTGCTCTTCAGAGCTACCGGTTCTACAGAGGTGGACAGAACCGGTAGAAACCCACCCCTGATCACGGGCCCAGGGCCTCCTACTTTAGCAGAAGGTTGGATTAGATCTCTTCCAGTTCTATTCTGGTTGATTGATATAACCATAGAATACTATTTCATTTTTTCATATTACGTTTTCAGTATTATTACTATTCATATTGATGTAGTCAAAATTTGTAGTCAGGCACCTTATTCTTCATCATGCACATATTACATCCTTTACATCAGTAAGATTTGATTACTTATGTTAAATTTAAAATTAACAGCAGGTAAAATGACAGGACTCTTGCACTGCGTGTCTTACCTGCCATAGTGGATCCTTTTGTTCTGGAAATAGTTCAAAGTATTTGTGAGCCAGCTGAAGTGGAGGTAGAGTCTGCAACTTCAGGTTAGTCCAACTTTGAACAAAATTGGCCAGATTGACAAAGGTGTATAAACCCAATCGGTCATTGCCATAATTAGACAGGTGAGTCATAAAAATACTGATCTTAAAGACAAAAGGCACATTTAATTATATCACTAGATGGCAGTAAAGCAACAGGAAAAATTTGGTTGCTTTTTAAACTGAGCTCCATAAGAATAAGGCATTAGGCTTTTTCCTATTACTTAACACTTACAAGTATTGGTGATCAATCAGTTCAAATATCATGGATGATATTATTTTTCTTATTATCTGAAGTAGCCCAAAAGGATGCACAACAAATATTAAAAATAATATTCAATAAGCATAAGTTCAAATAATAAACTAAATAATAAAAACGTGAGTAATTAAGAATTCATTTTAAAGGAAGTCTAATTCTTCCAAGAGGCATCTGAACAAGAATATTTTAAGCTGTTATTTAAAATGGGACAGTATGGAAAGCCAACTATTATCTCATCCATAAAATAAGTTTTACTCTGAAATCTGCAAGCCACTTAATCATTTTTGATCAGAAGTTGATACAACTGATCATAACACAAGCATTGGCAGCAGGGAATGAAAGTCATTTATTATTATTATTATTATTATTATTATTATTATTATTATTATTATTATTATTATTA